GGGCTGGGGATTCGAACCTGCCACCTTAGGTGTATGTGGCTGGCACCTTAGCCGCTTGAGCCACAGGCGCCGAGCCGTATGAGTTAAATTTTGATAACATCACCTGCTTGGCTTGCCTCCACTGGTTTGCTGAATATCAAATAAATGGTATACAGTAGTCCCTCCTTATTTTTGCACTCTGTGGTTTTAGTTACCCAAAGTAAAATACAATAAGATAATTTGAGAGACCAAGTTTACTTAACTATTATTACAGTATTTTGTTATAATTATTCTATTTTATTTGTTAATGTCTTCGTGTGCCTAATTATAAATTAAACTTTACCACAGGTATGTAATTTATAGGAAACACTATATATCAGGCATCCACTAGGGGGTCTTAGAAAACATACCTTGTGGAAAAGGAGAGGCTATGGTAAGTGATATAGCCCTTTATAAACTACTAGATGCCATATAAAATATGTTGTTATCCAAAAGTGACATTATCTCATAAAAGATGTGCTATGGCATGAAAAAGTCATGTTTATGGGCTCTGGGTTCTGAAAAATTCTGACCTTGATACTGTAAATACCTTTAATCTACATTCTAAATTTTTTTTTCTTGAGACAGAGTCTCACTCTGTTGCCCTGGATAAAGTGCTATGGCCTCATAGCTCACAGCAACCACAAACTTTTTGGCTGAAGTGATCCTCTTGCCTTACCCTCCCAAGTAGCTTGGACTAGCCCACCACAACACCTGGCTCATTTTTTTTTTTTTTTTTTGCAGGTTTTGGCTGGGGCTGGGCTTGAACCTGCCACCTCTGGCATATGGGGCCGTTGCCTTACTCCTTTGAGCCACAGGCACCACCCCGACATCTGGCTATTTTTTAGAGACAAGGTCTCACCCTTGCTCAAACTGGTCTTGAACTCCTGAGCTCAAGCAATTCACTCGCCTTAGCCTCCCAAAGTGCTTGGATTACAGGCATGAGCCACCACGTGCAGCCTTACATTCTAAAATTTTGATAGCCTCATAATGGAAATGAAACTATTTTGGTTTAATATTTTTTAAGCATAAGATCTTTAAAAATGCGTATGTGTAAAATTCCACATTTACCTGGTTGCATGAACAGTCTGCCTGGTCTTCCTAAAATCTTCAGTGACTTACATCTTATTTTAGATGCATAACCAGTTTTTAACCTATAAAACAGGGAAATATCTTTAATTGGAGCCAACAAAGTGAATAGCTGGCTAGGGCATATGGAAGATCACACAAATTCTTTTTATCAACTGCCATCATCACCAAAGAGACCTTTTCCATCCCCAAATTCTCCTGTGTGCTATTAATCCTGAGATGCAAAGCTAACTGTTACAGAGCAGTTTGAATATCCTTAATCTCTTTTTCCTCTTCTTTTTTTATAATTTTTGCCTCTCTAGAAGCATCATGTATTTTTCCTTTTGGATGTATTTGCATCATTTTGAATCTGAGTGGAAATCACAATTGAAAAGGGCAATTGTCCATAACTAGCTGATCAAGGAATTTTTACAGCTTCACAAAATATGTTCAAAAAAAAGTCGCATATTCCAATTAGCTCAATAAGAGAAGTATGATCCTCTTGTGTTGCTTCTTCATCCTATTATGAATTTAGCAAAGTGAACATACTAGGGAGTACAAGTTGTAATATCACTTAGGCCTTCGAATAAAATGGGTACATTTCTTCCCCTTTTATACAATAAGAAACAGACCCTTCTTTGTTTCTCCCTGGTCGCCAAAGGGAATGCTGTATGATCATTTCAGGTGCCGATGCAGCTGCAATGTCAGAAGGCCCTGAATCTTCTCTCTCCAGCTGGTGTCGCCATGTAGTGCAGGGATAATGCTGTTTCTGTGAGTAATGAAAGTTGAGGCGGCTCCTGTGATGAGTTAGGACACCTGTTATACAAATCACCTCTATTAGAAGACCTTCTCACTAATTATAAGAATGAGTGAGAAACCAACTGGAGATTTACCTGCCTGGCTTTTGTGAGCTGCGCTGAATCACATGCACATATTGCCTCTTCATTAACGCCCTCAGATAGTTCGCGTTATAGATCTTAGCAATACTGCACAGATAACGCTTCTGGCCTATGGTGAGTTCTGGATGCTAAAAGATGGGATAAGAGGATAGTATGCTTTGTAGAACAGGTTGGCAATATTCCTTATCTGAAAGGATGAATGTTCAGAAGAGTTGTACCATCTGTACAATTTACTTAAGCAGATTCAACTATGTTAGCTTGGCCAAAAGAGAAAGAAATGGCCATTTAAACAGTGCAAGTGGCTCTGCTTGCCATTCCACTCAAGTGATTCAGAAGCCCTATGAGGTTTAAGAACCCACTGCCTAGGCTCGGCGCCTGTGGCTCAAGCAGCCAAGGCGCCAGCCACGTACACCTAAGGTGGCGGGTTCGAATCCCCAGCCCGGACCCGCCAAACAACAATGACGGCTGCAACCAAAAAATGGCCAGG